TATCCACCAAAATAATCCTTCAGGATTGAAGAAGATGAAACCAAGACCTTCCGAGGTAAGAATAAACTATAGGTATTCATTATCCACTAATCCAGCATTGCAGAAGATACTTAAAAAGAATCATAGACAAGAAGAGGAAAGAAGACAAACATAATCATGAAAGCATAGAAAATAATAAACCTTATTAGAAGAGAGGAGAGGGGAATGACAATGAGCAAAGAATCACACATGGTTAGTTTAGTAAACCAATAAACCTCTGAGATGAACGAGGAAGAAAAATTAACATGGATCATTCAAAACAACCAGAAGAAAAGTAACAAAATTTCAGGAACTAGTACAATGCTTTCCATAATAATGCTGACTTATAAATGGTCTTAATTCTATAGTTAAAAGACACAGACTAGCTGGCTGAATTAAAATTAAATTAAAACAAAACAAAACAAAAACAATTGTTTTCTGCGTGCAAGAAACTTACCTCACTGGCAAACACATACACAAGCTGAAGTTAAAGGAGTAACAATAATATTCAAATCAAATGGAATCTAAATGCAAACAGGAATAGCTATACTTCTATTTAACAACATAGACTTCAAGTCAAAATTGATCAAAAAAGACAAGATTCACTACATATTAAGGGTAGTGAATTCTTCCAGAAAAAATGATTATCAACATATATGCACTGAATGTTAGAGCACCTAATTTTGTAAAATAAAAACTACGGGACATAAAAGGAGAGAGGTAGGGCCTAGGATAATAATGTTGAGTGACTTTAAGACTTCATTCTCATCAATATATAGATCTTCCAGGCCAAAAAAAAATCAACAAAGAAACATCAGAGTTAAATTACATTATAGATTAAATGGACTTTAAAGACATCTACAGAATATTACTTTCAACAGCTGCAGAATATATATTCTTTTTATCACCAAAACTTTCCCCCAAACATTTCATATTTTAGGCCACAAAGCAAGTTTTATCAAATACAAAAAAGGAAATAATTTGTTTCAACTCATGAAATCATAACTGAATGAGACTAGAAATTAACAGAGAAACTATAAAAATTATACAAACAGATGAAAATTGAATACTATACTTTTGATTGGACAGTTGAGTCACTGAAGAAATCAGGGGAAATTTAAAAATTCCTAGAATCAAATGAAAAAGAAAATGCAACATACCCATTCCTCTGGATATACTGAAAGCAGTTCTAAGAGGGAATTTACAGGTATAAGTTCCTATATTAAATAAACAGCCAGGCATGGTGGCACATGTCTGTAACCACAGTGACTCAGGAGGCTGAGGCAGGGAAATCACAAGTCTGAGGCCAACCTCAGCAACTTAGAAATCCCCTGTTTCAAAATAAAAACAAATAAATAAAAAGGGCTGAAGCTATAGCTCAGTGGTAGTGCCCCTGGATTCAAGTCTCAGTATTACAAAATAAATAAATTAAAAAAAAACAAAACAGAGATCATAAATAAGTGATCTAATGATGCATCTCACAGTCTTAAAAAAGAATCAAACCAAACCCAAAATTAGTTAAGGGAAAAGAATAATAAAGATCAGAGAAGAAATAAATGAATACAGTCTAAAATTATAATACAAAGAATAAGTGAAATTGAGTTCTTTGAAATAATTAACAAAAATGAAAAGCCATTGGACAAAGAGCCTAAAAGAAAGACAGAAAATACCCAAATAAATAATAGTACAGACAAAAATGAAGATATTTGTATAGATACCAGTAAGATATTTTTGAAAAATTATATGCAAATAAATTAGAAAATCTCAAAGAAATGGAAAAATTTATAGACACATATGACCTTCCAAAATCAAACCAACAGAATATAAAAAGCCCAAATATATTAATAACAAGCAATGAGGTTGAAGTAGTAATAAAGAATCTCCCACCAAAGAAAATCTCAGGACTAGTTGGATTCACAAGTAAATTTTGTCAGACTTTTGAGAAGCTAATATCAATATTCCTCAAAATACTGCATAAAATCAAAAAAGGAAGTAACTCTCTCAAACGTATCCCATAAAGCCATCATTACCTTGCTATCCCAAACTGATAAGAACAAAAACAAAAATGTACAGCAATATCCTGATGAACACAGATATAAATTCTTAATAAAATATATGCAAATAAAATTCAACAATATATGCAAAAGATCATACACCATGATCAAGTTGATTTCATTACAGGAATGCAAGAATGATTCAAGATATTTAAACCAATATATTTAATACAGAACATAAAAAAAATCATAAGATCGTCTCAATAGACACAGAAAAAAAGCCTGTGAGAAAATTCAACATATGTACATAATAAAAACCATGTATAGAAGGATCAGATTTCAACATACTAAAGGCTATATACAACAAACCCATAGCAAATATTATACTGAATGGGGAAAAACTGAAAGCATTTCCTATAAAATCAGTAACAAAACATAGCTATCTCCCATCACTGCTCTTATTCAATATACAACTTGAAATTTTTGCCACAGCAATAAGGCAAGAGAAAGAAATTAAAGGTATACAAGTAAGAAGAAAGTCAACTTATCCATATTTGCAAATGATGCTTCTACATTTAGGGACCCTAAGAACCACACTAAAAGACCTTAGATTTGAAAAAACAAACATTGCACAGTAACAGAAAACAAAATCAACATACACCAATCAAAAATTGGTAACTTTCCTATACAACAATAATGAACCCACTAAGAAAGAAATCCAGAAAATAATCCCATTCACAATAGCTTCAAAAACATAAAATACCTAGGAAAAAACTTAACCTAGAAGGTAATAAACATCTTCAATAAAACTTATAAAATAACAAAAAAAGAAATTAAATAAGATACTAAGTGATGGAAAGACCTTCCATCTTCATGGATAGGCAAAATTAATATTGTTAAAAATGGCCATACTACCAAAAGCAATCTATAAATTCAATGCAATTCCTATCAAAATACCAATGATTTTGTATACAGAATTTTATAAATCCTTAAATTCATGTGAAATCACATAAAAACGAGAGTAGCAAAAGCAATCCTGAGCAAAAATCAAAAACAAATGAATAAAGAAAATGTGGTTTATATACACAATGGAATATATTTGGCTGTAAAGACAGGATTACATTACCCTGTCATTTGCAGCAACATAGATAAAACTGGAGGCTATTAACTGAAATAAGCCAGACATATGAACAAATAATGTCACACATTCTCACATTTGTGGAAATAAATTTACCTTAGAGAAGAATGGAATAGAATAGTGGTCACTAGAAACAGGTAAGACACAAAGAAAGATAGAAAGTAACTCAGGAAGGGGCACCAAAATACAGTTACAGTGGAATAATTAGGTCCTCCCCTCACTTTCTTTCTTTCTTTTTTTCTTTTTCTTTTTTTTAACAGCACAGTAGGGTAATGACTAATTTAAAACAATCTGTATTTCAACGTGACGTAGAAGAGTATGAAATTCCCATTACATAAAAATCATTGATAGAAACACTTTTTACCCTAGTTTTATTTTTACACATTATATACATGTATCAGGTTACCATAATGTACCCCATTGGATGTACAAATATTATGTTTCAATGAATTTTTTTTAAATCCAAGACATCAGGGCTCAGGCAGACTCTCTCTTCACTCCTCCAGTATTTTTTCAATAAATATTTATTAGGTGCTATTATTTGAAACAATTCTGTTTATGTTAGAGTAAGTAAACAAATTAACAAAGACTATAATAAAAATAACATGGAGAGATGTGAAAAACGTGACTTGACAATGACTTATTGTGTAATTATTTGGTAAATAGAGATTTTTTAAAAATTTATCAAAATTTGAATTGTGGCTTCAATGACAAGCAAGACAACTGTTCTGAAAGTTCATGGTAGATACATAAAGATAAGGTATATGAAGATGCAGTCAGAATTTACTAATCCATAAATAAATGATTGTACTATGACTCTTTCTGAGCAAATAGCCCTTTGATAGCATGAAATAAAAATAGTTGAAACTGTCATTGTTTATTCTTTTACTCTTCATCTTTTTAATGAAGCATATGATATCCTCTTATTAACATACTATAGTTACTCTTAGAGCTTTAAAATATATATTTTGTCCTAGTTTATATTTTTCTTTTATAGTAGAAAAACAGTTTTGCATGCATGCTCAAAGTTATATAACAAACGTGTTTTTGTCTTGAGCTTATTGTTTACAAAAAGTACTTGTAACTAGATTGTGGTTTATGCTCCTCGCCACTGTATTCTAAATTATTTATAACAGAATATGTAATTATTAAAAATTAATATAATGGAATTGCTTCTTCAAAACATATTTTTGTTTAACTATTTTCAGAATTTTCACTAAGAACAGATAAAAACTTTAGCTAAAGACCCCCCTTTAAATATGGAGCTTCTGCTTTGGCTTGAGATAGGATATATGGACCCAAGTTAGTTTGAATCTACATTTAAGTAGGTATATATCAATATTTGTAATATAGGTAATAAGAGTATTTAAAAACCATAAAAATCCATTGAACTTTCATGTTAAGAGAAAATTGGAATAAGAAAATTAGAAGTAGGGTTATTATGACTTCCATTTGGATATTCACATAAGTGACTTTGCTGTACTATCTTCCATGGAACTTTGGGGAAATTTCTTATTTATTAATCATTTATCAGTATTAATTTATCAATAATTTCAGACATATTCTTGGTTTACTTTCCAGTTTACTTGGAACTCTCATCCTCTAATTTTGTGACATTTGCAAAATTAAAACTAAAATGAACCTTTTTAGTAGTGCCATATTTCATGTCTATGATAAACATTGCACAAGATCCCTCCTTAAGTGAGAAAGGAGCTCTATAAAATGCAAACACAAACAGAGGACTTCTTGGAAAATATGGTCTTCCATTGCACAGGGGCCATATCTCTCAAAAGTACTTTCTGGAAAAGAAAGCCATTTTTTATCTTCAATATGGAAAAAAAAAAACTCACCAGATCACAAAGGAGGCTCCTGTTTCTAGTTCCAGCTTTATCACAGTCACAGGATTTGCAAACATCAATGGCTGAAGGATCTGCACCCACTTGTCGGAAAAAGTAATCCTTGCACAGTTCACAGTTCCTCCCTGCGTCAGAGAAAGGTTATGCATTGTGACTTCCAATTCATTAAAATCAGCTGCATAATTCAAAATTAAATACTGTATTCCTTTGAGAGAATTCTATAATTTTCGGGACGTCCATTTTAATGCACCTTTCATCTCTACCTGCCAATTTAGTGATCCAGAGCATATGAAACAATGAACCTGTTACAAACTGTGCTTTCCTTCATTAAACTCCCATCTGTTATATAATACCTCACTTCTAAAAAGCTATGCTTTGTAAGGATCCATACATTTTAAAAGAATTTCTTTCAAAACTTAAAACTTTTCTTCTATGACCAGGCTCTTCATCTCTACCAAATAAGAGAAATTTCTACTTGTAGTAGATGATACTTATATAGTTAGAAGAAGGAAGGTAGCATTAGATATATTTTACCAAAACTCAATCTTGTAAAATTGGAGACTTCTCTTAATGTAATTGATTATTCTATAGTTAACATGATTAAAAGTAAATGCTTCAGTTAGTGGTCATTATTTTTCATTCAAATATCCAAATAGAAATTTAATATATTTGGATATACCAAGTAATATTCCTATTAAATGTTAGAATAGTTTTGCCATTTTTTATATATGGAAAAAGCCCTATAGTACAAAGAATGTGAGTAGCATATAAGATAGCAGAAATAAACTCATAGCTATTGATTTTCTCTTTAAACATTATGCACTTTGCTCAAATATTGCTTAAAATGTCCCAATTTTAGACTACAGAAATAAATGAAAATTCACATTTATGGATCCTGGTTATGGACTAATTAAATGAATTTATAATGTTTCTAAAATATTTCCATTTGTATATGCTGATGGCTCCCAAATCTGCCTTCAATCTAGAAATCTCTCCTTTATTTATCATCCAATAAATATTTATGAAGTGATTGCCATGTTGCAAACCTTGTCCTAAATACTGAGAAATGTAGTAGTAAGCAAAACACACAACATCCATTTCTCATCACAGAACTTTCTTCAGTCTAGTGGGTAAAATCAATCTTAAATGAGTAGGAATAGATATACACTTCTCAAGAGTGAGAAGCCTAAGATACCACTAAAGAATATGGATGATTCTGATCTTTTCTGAGGCACCATAAAAGGTTTAGAATAAAGAAACTATAGGACTATTTCCACCTGCCCACTAGAGTGTTCTTCCTATAACTCTTGGACACACACACTGAACATGTCCAAAATAGTACTTGGCATCTTCTCTCTTAGCTTGATCTTCCTGAATCTCCTAACTTGATGGGCAGTGCCAACATTGACTCTACTGCTAAAGCTGGAAGATTAGGTATCAATCTTGACTGGTCTCTTCCCTGAACCTACTTCCTACTTACAAAATGCTCTCCTTTTTCAATTCTAAATGTCTCTTGGTTACACTTCTATCAACATCTGTTTAAATGTATCTCGCCGTTATTTCTGACCTGGGCAATTATAGCACACAACTAACTGTTTTTTTCCAAACCATTCTTTACCTTCTCCAATCCATTCTCCCCTGGACAACCAAATGGATCTTTGAAAAAACACAAAACTGATTACATCCCTTTCACATGTAAAACCCTTAAGTGTCATCTTATTGACCTTGGTACCCTCAGTGATCTGACTCCCCTACCTTCCTTCCTTTTATTTTTTTAATCCACCAGCCATTTCTCCTCCCAGTTCTCCAAAGGTATCATGTTTCAAGCTCCTCTAGGCCATTGCAGATGTTTTCCTTACTGGCTTCCCCACCTGATTAACTCCCATTGTACTTGCCATGTCCTAGCACTCATAGAACAACTTTGGAATTGTTCCTTCAATAGTCTGCCTTTCCTACTATAGAATAACTCAAAGGCAAGAAAATCCATTATCTTATTCATCTTCATATCCCTAGACCTAGCCAAGTCCTTGTGAAACCTTATGTCACCAATAATCATCTAATAAATTCATTCATGCTTCACAGCATCAATTTCAGATCCACCACACTTGGGCCATGATATTTAATAAATTCAGATGCTGCCTATTTCTGTTTCTAACATACTGCCCTTCAGAAAATAGTAATTTTCAATGACTAGTCAAAATGTTTTAAAACAGGAATTTATTACTTTCTGCATTTAATTAGTATTTTACAGAAGATTATTCCCAGATTACCATTTTTTCCATGCCAAGTCTGAACAAATGTAAACACCACCATGTGAGAGAAAACAGACATAAGGAAGATAAAAGTGACAAAAGAACACTTGTTTGGGGATTTTTTTTCTTCAAACTAAACATTTCTGAATCATGAAAATGTATTTATGATTCAGTCAAACAGTGTGAATCCTTTAAAAAAAATTTTTTTCCCTGGGTTGAGGATGTAGCTCAAAGATGAAGCACTTACCTAGCACATATGTGACCCCGAGTTCAATCCCTAGCACCACAAGAAGAAAAAGAAAGAAACTCTTACAGAAAAGATATAGTTCAGAACAAGAGTGTCATTTGGAATTAGGGAAATTTGATGAACTAGCTTTGGTTTTCAAACTTCATAGTATGTAAGCCCATTCTTACAAAAGATAACAATAAATACTGTGCATTGTTTATAGGTGCACACAGGCTTCAGGGGCCAAATGAGCAATTTACCATTTGCTGGTTACCTGTAGTATTATGCTGGCAGGCATCACAGACTCCTCCTCCTCCTCTCTGATGCTCAAGAGGAAAAGGATCTACAGAGGCATTGTAATGGCAGCTCCTGGAATGGCCATTGCACTCACAAGGTTTACAATTGAAAGCGTGAAGGTGATTGCCTCTGCGGAAAGGCTTGTCATTATACAGTGGCAGGCAGCGATCACACTGGAACAACAAAATCATATAAGAACAATAAATATCATCTCAGATTTTTTCTATTAATAATCTAGTCTTTCTCACTAAATGGAAAGCTAATATTCATTATTTAAAAGTCAAGGATCACTGTATTTGAAAAATGTTTATAAGTCAGAAAAAAAACTCATTATAGGCAAGAGTTATGCTTGTTACAAAACCCTTAAAAATGTCGAAACACTAAAACTTCATACCCTCAATTATAACTGTAAAGGAAAACCAAAAATAATAAAAGTAATGTTAATTTAGTACGTTAAAACATTACATATACATACCTGGAAAACCAAGTTACTTTATTTCTTTGCAAAAACTTTATCAACAGTACTTTGAACAATGATGCCCTCTTGTACCATACCTTATTATTCTAAATAAGCATTTTTTCCCCTATGCCTTGGTGAACTGTGATTCTCATTCCAAAATTTGGATCAGCTTTCAACATTTTGACCTTTGTGCTTTTAGTGTTGTGAAACATCCCTGAGAATTGCTCTAATGTAGTAATTTGGCTAGCATTACTTCCTCAGGGGTATCTTCACCTTATTCTTTGCATGGCAACCACTTTCCTCACTGATGGGAATTTCACCCTCTCTAAGGAGCCTGGCTGTACATCTAGAATCTCTCAAAGGGCAACAATGATTAACTTTTTCTTATAAATCCACTAAAGTTCAATTTGAATTTCACCTGCACATTTTCTTTCTTCACAATGTTTTAATTTTTGTCAGCCAATTCCCTTGCAGTGAAAGATGGTGTTTGTCAAGTGTCACATGAGTATATCACTAATAAAGAGGTAACACAGTCACATGATTCTCTGTGAATAAACTGGTTCTGAAAGTGCTATGATCAGTCCAATATTCTTCAAAAGAAGAGCTATAACTTGTCACTAGTTATAATGTGTATCTCTTATAAGTTTCCACAGTAATTTCTGGATTGAAGAGCCAGCAGCTAAGTGTGTGTATGTAACATAAGATTAAAAAAAGGAAATAGAAAAATTATAGGTTATTTGACCACCAAGTCCAAATATTAACATGATATAATTCCTTTTCAAACTTGCATCTATACCTTTTATATTTTCAAAATTTGTACTGTGTACCCCATAAATTACATAGCCCCATATTTTAAGTATCATGAATTTATTGCATTATTTATCATGATTTCCACAAAATAACTCTTTTAATCATTCTGCAATTATTATACATTCAGTTTTGCTCCACACTTATTTTTTGTGGAGAGTGCCAATGTATCTGAGTATTTCCTTAAGAAAATTGTAAGGGATGAAATAATATTTCAAGTAATAAAAACATTTTTATAGATTTTGTTAATATTACTTTTAAAAAAATTAAATTTTACCATATTAAATTATCTCTTCACTATTTTGATTTTTAAAAAAGTATTAATCACTGTGGTTTTTTATATATATTATGTCTTTGATTACTAGTGAAGCCAAATATTCCTTATCTACTTTTTGGTTATACAGTCCTTTTTAAAAAAAGCATTGATTTTTCTTTCATGTATTCATTTTAATTATTGATTCTAAAGTTCTTATCAGATACTACAATTTTCATTTTTACCTATAAAACAATGGAGATTTAATTTATAATTTTCAAAATATTGATTTCTTCTATCTTATTGGACAATTTTTTTCTGCATAATATTTGATGTGGTATCGTGGTAATAGAGACTATTTGGATGTTGTTTTCTGACTTAAATGCAAATGTCTTTAATGTTACAACTTTTATAATGATGTTGACTATTGATGTCAGGAAGACAATTTTTAAACATTTTAAAGAAGAAATATCTATTGCAAAAAAACAAGATGCCATTATTTAAAAAGGAATACATTGTAAATTTTATTCAATTCTGATTCTTCAACCTGTTGAACTGACAAATCATATAATCAATTAGTAGATTAAATGGAATCTATACCTGCATTCTTAAGATAAACTCAACATCAGTAATGGTAAATAATGCTAAGTAAAAAAATATTATTTAGAGAACTGCATGTATACTCATAAATAAGACTGCTCCATGTTTTTATAAGGATTATTAAACTAATTTTTCAACTTTTAATCATGATCAATACATATTTGTATTTTTAACCTTCATTTTAATGTCTTGTTCATCTGAAAATTCTCCTTTTGTGCATACACACACACAAATCTATTATATTTTGCCAAATTACATTGCATATAAAGTATGATTTCTTCAAGATGAGATTTTAAAAATAGAATAACTAAATAAACACCAGAATTTCTGAAAATATTTTCCTTATCCTTCATGAAATACTTTTTTGTTGTTGTTGTTCTCACAGTGCTGGGGTTTGAATCTAGAGTCTCAAGAATGATAGGTAAGCATTCTACCCACTGAGGTAGACAGCCCTACTGCGCATTACTGATGTCAGTGTGACTTCCCAAAGCACTCAGTGGCCAGTGTTACCTATTAAATTACAAAGTAGGAACACCAAACCACATAAAAATCATGTCTCCCCGTCTATCCATAAAAATTGTCTTTTGCTCTTTGCTCTTCAAAATTGTTAAAACTATTTTGATATTAGGACAATAAAGAGCATTCTCTGATATTTTGTAAGAAACATTTAATATTTTAGAACAGTTTGACATATTTCATAATCATTATTGGAATAAACTACAGTGAAAAGCATTTTTGCCAGTTTTTACTTATTCCCCACTGATCCACAGTTGAACCATTTTTTCCTTTAATATTCTTAAAGGGAGAAAGAAAGAAAAGGAACTTAATTGTTCAGTGTATTGCTGTTTAATGGTATTCTTAAAAATTTAGCATGAAAACAAAGTGAAATTTTTCTACTTAACTGAGGAGAAAAAGAAAATTCAGATGTTACATAAATATTAGGTAACATTTTCACATCCAACAAATGTCACATTATATTAATGGGGTAATAATGCACACTATATTTTGGTCAATTTAAAAGTTTATGTAATATTCTTTTTGGAATGATGAGAATTCTTTGTCCCTAATACCATTCCTAACCTTTTGGGCTTTGCTTCTCCCACAGTGCTCTATTAATACTTGATCTTGCTTCTGCTGCTTTGAACTGAAATGACTGATTTACTTATATGTATTTTTCAGGACATACAAGTTATTGACTTTTATACTTCTTATGTCATTCACACAGTAGGAGCATAATAGACAATTACTGAACTGTTAACTGAAAGTCACATCTAATCAATGATATTTATGTCCAGAGAAAGCTGTACTTGAAAGAATTTAGAGAAGACACACAATGGACCCAATTCACAAACAAGGTAATAGCTATATGAAGAATTCGTACTTGGCTGTGATAAGATTATTTGCAATAAATCACCACTCACAGATATAAATTCAAACTCATTTTACAAAAGAAAGTTATGCTACCAATCATTAGGACATTTTCAGCTATAAATCTTTGGCTAAAATTATTTAAGAAGAAGAAATGACCCCTTTAAGTGTTTCCTCACCATCAATAACCAAAATAGACATTATTATTGCGGTATGTATATAGGTGACTGTATGACCAATGTGATTCTGCAACCTATACAATCAGAAAAATGAGAAATTATACCCCATTTGATTCAAATGTATGAATTGTCAAGATCATTGTACTGTCATGTGTAGCTAATAAAAATAAATAAATAACCATAAGCAAATCAAATTTATATCACAGATTCAAAAAGAGTTCTCTGTAGGCTACAAACCACATAGCTTGGTTCAACAACTAGTGCTGTCACTTCCTAATATTAAATATTACACATTGTAAAAGGGCCACTGTGAAAAGTAACATGAAATACATACCGTCAAGCCTTAGAAACTATATTAAGCATTTAAAATTGGTTGCTTCCATGAATGGGTAAAGAAGCTCTGGTAGATATACAAAATGGAATATTATTTAGTCATAAGAATGAAATCCTGTTATTTTCAACAACATAAACAGAACTGGAAGATAACATATTGAATGAAATGAGTCAGGCACAGAAAAGACAAATACTGCATGTTCTCACTTATATGTGGAAACCCAAAAGATGATCTCTTTATTCTGTACCTCTATGAGAGGTACAGAATAATATAAAAGTCCCCAGAATCTGGAAGATGGATGGAAGGAAAAAAACCTAAAGAATATAAGAGCACAGTCAATAAAACAAATGATTTAAGAATATAAAGGCACAGTCAATAAGACAAATGATTTATGTTTATACATAGTAAATATGGTTGATGACAATTAATTTCATACTTTAAATAGCTAGTAAAGGGGATTTTGAATATTTCCAACACAAAAAAGTGGTAAATATTTGAGGGAACAAATGTAATAATTACTCTGATTAGATATTACACATTGTATATGTGCAATGAAATATCATACTAGATCCCATAATTATGTACAACTATATTTTTAAACTTTTCTAAAAATGAGTAAAATGAGTTATCTAATTGGATTCTCTAGGTCTTGAGTTGCATAGTATACCACATCTGATTTCTATGTTTTGATTTGCTAGCCTGTGTTCTTGTGAAATTACCTGAATCTCTTTTCTTCTTCTTCTTCTTTTCTGATCCAATAAAATGGGAGTGCTAATTCTGGCCTCATGAGGTTGTTTTAAAAGCTAAGCACTTGTCAAAATATCTGTCACACAGTTGGCCTTCAGTAAACATTATCTATTGCTCTATTGCATTCACAACTGGAAACTAAGGAAGTTAGATAATATGGGCAATGTCATTGGACAATTAGTCCTTGAATTCACTTTACTTGTATGAATATCAGTGTATTCATGTCTGTTTTCCTCAGCTTTTTTTGCTGCTATGACTAAATGACCTGACAAGTACAATTATAGAGGAGCAAAAGTTTATTTGGGGGCTCACAGTTTCACAGGTCTCATTCTCATTATGGGTGGAGAAAGAGTGTGGAAGAGGACAGCAGCTTATGAAACTACCAGGAAGCTGAAAGAGAGACTCCACTTGCTAGATACAAAATA